ACACTTCAGCATTCTTATCGCACCTGTTATCTTGTAATCTAGCCATACTGTGCAAATGAAATTACCACTGTTGCTAATGACAGGAGGCTTGAAAAGATGAGCTTCTCTTTCTCTCTGATGCCAAAGCATCTCGGCACTCTAATTTTATTACAGCCATTCCAGAGTGAATTTAGCCGGGCTTCTCAGATGTCTGTGTTGAAATTCAAGTCTTTATTGATATTGATAGACCGCAGAGCTAATTAAATAGTGCAGCGTGATATGCGCTGCTCTGAACTCAGAAGGCTATGTTTGTTATAAATAAGTTTGAAATGATAAGATTAGCCAAGTTACAAAATGCTGTTAGTTCACATTTATTCTCTGTAGCAAAAATCTAGGGTGTGGATTTTTGATGCAAGAACTTGTACACTGAGCTGGTAAACGCCATTCAGTAACATGTCTGCATTGTAAGTTGCTGTTTGCTGTCAGTATTATTATCTTTTTAAATTAATTTTATATTTATTATTAGCTGTCTTACATTAATTGGAATTCATTCCTAGAAAACACTAGTTGTTTGGCTAAATCTGCATAACTGCATTTTATTTTTATTTTATTTTCTCAGATTTGCAAGAAACAGAGCAGCAGATTTCCAACTTGGCATAGGTTAATTGGTGCAGATGTGTGCACTATTCGACTATTAATGAGCTCCGCTCCAGTACTTGACAGCTCATCCGCCCCCAGTCATTTTGTTGTGTGACAAAAAGCATTGATGTTAACCTCAGCTCTGACCCCAGTAATTACCCACTTCGGAGTGTTTTACATCCCAAAATCCACCCCTGCCATTACGTTCTATTGACGAATATGCCTTGTGGTAAATGAAAATGAAATGAAAGCAAATGATGATATGCATGAGTCACGCGAAATTTTCTCGCTCTTGTTGTTTTCAGTCTCTGTTCCATCTGCCGGTGTTTCGCAGACTGGTGCTCAATTACTGCCTGTCTGAGCGCGTGCTGGAGAAATGCAAGAGCCACTCTGTGAGTAATCAGCCGCCTGTGAGGATCTGGCTCATATTCTGACAAACATTCTAACACGCTCAGATCTTTAGATCCCTTCTGGGATAGAAAAGTGCTTCTGTGAGTACCTTTCAATAAGAGCGTGATTTAGCTAGATTATATATTTGGTGGAATCGCTTGTTTGTTGTCTTAGTGAGAAGTACTCTGACTGTATATGTAACGCCCCCACATGTCTTTATATGCAGGAGAAGAGAAACGTAGCATTCATGCAGGAGTTGCGATGCCTCTTTGCCCTGATGGTGGGCTCTAATCGCAGGTTTGTGGACCCCTCTGCAGCTGTGGAACTCCTCAGGGATGCTTTTAGGACCAGCGAGGCACAGCAGGTACACTGACACTGGTTTAGTAAACAAGGCACAATTGATTATTGTACATAAAAAAGGAGCTTTAGAAGACAGCTGTCCTCAAGCTGCTCTCTCTCTCTATCTTTCTTTATGCAAATATATATATATATATATATATATATATATATATATATATATATATATATATATATATATATATATGTGTGTATAAAGAAAGACAGAGAGAGAGAGATATACACACACACATTTATATACATATGTGTGTGTGTATGTGTGTATATGTATGTATATATGTGTATGAGTATAAGCATACAGCGTCAGAAGCGCTCTGCTTGCACAGCTGATGAAGGACTTATTTTATACACTTTGAAAAAAAAAACAATACTAAACTGTACGCCTGTAATATGTATCTTTTAACTAGAAAGGTGCATATAGTGTACCTTTGAGGTTTTACTTTTAAATGTACTTATGTACCTTCAATCATTTTAAATGTACACTATATCCACATTTCCAGGTGAATGATACATATTAAAGATAAGGATATCACCCCAGTGACAAGGAAAGATACAGTTTAGTACCCTAGGCTACTTACTAGAGTATATAAACTTTTATCTGTACATGCCTACGTGAAAGTGTTTCTAAGTCTCAAAACCTAGGCCACACAAAACCAAGGTGGTTCTAGGTCACATTTTGTGTCTAGGTGACAATGTGATGCATCAGGTCACATACATGATGAACAGATGGCAAATTAAAGGAAAAGGCAGTGGTTCTGTTATGCTGTGGGGGGGCATTTATTTATTTTGCTGCCATTGTTTGAGTCCATTTGTATCCTTGGTGAGAAGAGTCACTGCAAATCAGTGCACAGTTCTTGAATGATCACCTTTCCTATGATGAAACATTTCTATCCTGATGGGAATGGTCTCTTCAAGGATGACCCTGCCCCATTTCCACATGGCATAAGAACTCAAAGAATGGTTTGTTGAGGATGAAAATGATGTCAATCATATGCTCTGGCTTTCAAAGTCACCAGATCTCGGCCCATCTGAACACCTACAGGTGATTTCGGAGTGGCGTGTTACGTAGCGTTCTCTATCGCCATCATCAAAACACTAATCGAGGAAATATCTTTTGCACTGAAGCTATTCTGGTGGCTCATCGTGACGCAATATCTTACTAAGATACTATGTTGGTTTTTCCTTTAATTTATCAAGCTTATGTGCTATATGTGTGCCGCAGATTGTTGAGGCACACACTGATATGGTTTAAGTGGAGGCTGTGTGAGAGAGGTAACATACTTGCCTGTTTTAGGATGTTAGTGAGTTCACACATAAGCTGCTCGACTGGCTTGAGGACGCCTTCCAGTTGGCAGCTAATGGCAGGTACGCTTTTAGAAAATGGAAATGGAGCCTGACTTATTTTTATCGCTGAATTTGAAATAACTGCACTGATATATGGACTTTCTGATTCTCCAGTAATCCAGAAGATAAACAGGACAACCCAATGGTTCAGCTTTTCTATGGGACATTCGTAGCTCAGAGAGTTCATGAGGGTAGGGGAAAATTATCATTTCATTATTGAGGAGGATATGTTGGCTAAATGTTTTACTGAAATTATATATTTTGATGAATGCAGGTAAGATCCTCTCCACCATGGAGCAGTTTGGACAGTACCCGCTGCAGGTGAATGGGTTCAACAATTTGGATGAGTGCCTGGAGGGTGCAATGGTAGCAGCAGAGATCGAATCACTACACTGTGATCAAACTGTGTCATCTGGACAGGAAGTCAGTGTTATTATCTAAAATAAATGTTTATTATTCAAAATGTTAAATGTCCATTGATGTTATTATGAATATAAATGCCAAATTATTGTACAAATATGATTTGTGTAAGTATGAAACTATTTTTTTCAGCGATGGTTCTCGAAGCTGCCACCAGTGTTGACCTTTGAACTCTCTAGATTCGAATTTAATCAGTCTTTAGGACGGCCAGAAAAAATACACAAAAAGCTTGAGTTCCCTCAGATTATCTACATGGACAGGTGAGCACTTATTGAAGTAGTTAATTCTGTTTTATCTAAACTATTTTACACAGTTTTTGTATTCTATTTAAATGTTTTATTAAAGAAACAGTCAAAAATGCACACAATTTCGCTCTTGTGTCTGAAGTTTGCATCTTTAGTTTTACACTGAAGCTACAATGCTAATGTGGCTAACTGGAAGCATTGGAAATACTGCATGTCTAAATCATGATTCAAACTGTATCGAGTTGTTCAGACTTTTCTGTGTGGTTCTTGACACTATATGACAGTTATCTGTTTGGTAAAACTTTTCAATAAGCTAGCTAGTATTACAGAAAGAGGCTGTCAGTAGAGTATGTCAAGTAAACATAAACAGCTAGCTAACTAATAAAATTGACAGAATGGTATTTTTAAGGTAAAAACAGTTCTAGCCATCTTGAAGTTGGTGTTGTGGCCTGTAACATACAAAGGAACCTATGACGATCCCATCCATGTTATGGTGCTGAGCTAGCTATCTTAGTCAGGTAAACATAAATAGCTATCTAGCTAATAAAATTGACAGAATGGTGTTTTTAAGGTAAAAACAATACTAGCCATCTTGAAGCTGGTGTGGGAGGCTTGAGCTAGCTATAGTAGTAGGTCATTTTTGGCTACTACAATAATAATCTTTTTTTAACATGTTAATGCCTTAGTTTATTTCATAAAGTCATAATGGCTAACTACCAGGCTAGCTATCTCTTAGCTAATGGCACTCTCTGTAAAACAAGAAGCTAGTTTTGTTTAATACCATATTCACTGTTGCTATTAGCTAGCTAACTATTTATGCTTAGCTGGCAGACTTCACAGACAGCCTCCTTCTGCAATGGTAGCTTACAAAATATCAAGGTAATGTTAGTTTAACTGAATTGTTAGAACGCAAACTTCACACACCTAAAATGTCTTGGCTAATTAAAATTTGGAGTAGGGGAAAGCCTTCTCACTGGAAAAAAGTGTGAGAGCCCAGTGAGCTGTTGACTCACTGTGACTATTTTCTTTATACTCGGAGTAGATACCTTCACAGAAACGTTGAACAAACACATGGGCGAAGAGGAGAGGTAAAGAGGCTCAAGGACCAGTTAACAGTTCTTCAGCAGAAACTTGAAAGGTCAGGAATAAATGACACACTTTGTCAGTGCTATAACAGCAGATTTTTTTTTTTTAAATGTTACACAAATGTTAAATGTCTCTGGTTTTTGCTTTATTAGTTTTGTCTTTGTTTTCAAGCTATAAAAACTATGGTTCAGGGCCGAACAAGTACCCGCTGTCCGACATGCTGCAGTATGTTTTAGAGTTCGCCACCTCAAAGCAGACAAACACAAGCACCTCTCCCACTTCAGCCGGACCTGCCAGCACTCCTGCACACACAGAACCCAGCTCAGAACACACCAGGTATAATAATATAACAATATAAAGAATAATATGTTTATTAAAGTAGCTGCTGCATTTATAGCTTATTTATTCCACAGTGCTGTTGATTTCTCGAATTCTGATTGGTCAGAAGGTGTTTATTTATTTTCTGTAACAGAAGCTCAGACGGTAGTCCCAACTGCAAGGCAAATCACAGGTTTATTTTAATACGCTTGTTCTAAAATGGGTAGTGGTTGCTGAATGGTTAGGGCTCTGGGTTACTGATCAGATGGTCAGGGGTTCAAGCCCCAGCACTACCAAGCTTCCACTTTTGGGCCCTTAACCCTTTCTGCTCCAAGGGTGACATATCATGGCGGACCCTGCACTCTGACCCCAACTTCCTAACAAGCTGGGATATTCAAAGGAAAGAATTTCACTCTGCTGTAATCTATATGTGACAAAAGAAGACTTCTTCTTCATCTAACAGCTCATTCAGAGCAATTTGAATGGTGGACGCTCCACATAAAATATCAACAAAGAAAAACATATTCTAGTACTAAGTATGTGGCGAAGCTTTCTGTAAGGAGACGTTTGTTTAACATTTTTGAAAGGAATGTACAGTGTCAGTCAGAGGTAAAGCTGTTCCTTTAAGGTTTCCATCACAGGAAAGTCTACAGAATTGACGGCTTTGCCCTGTAACAGTTAAAAAGTTTGACGAGGCATCCTTTAATAAACACAGAATTGTAATCCGTGATGAATTGCTGTATAAGAGAAATAACACTTCAGAACATGCTGTTCATGGAAAATGGGGCTGCATATTAGATAATTAGGTATTCACCACTACTTTGATGCCAACAACAATTGAATAGAGGCTGTGAAAAGGTTTTCATTCACACATACCATATTAACAGAGCACACACTCATGTCTACACTTTTATTTAGTTGTGTTATCAAGAAGTATTAGCGTGTGCTTAAAACCACATTCATATGTGATTTTGCACGTTCCCCTGACTTTGCATGCAATTAATAATTCATAAAATTATGAATTACCCTCTTTTTGCATACGCAGTTTATCCCCTTACACACAAATTACCATGCGTCATATCGGATCTGCGTAAACCAAGGCTTTAAAAGACAGATTAAAAAAAATATCTTTACATTCCAGTACTGATAATAGCATGTTAAATATTGCTTTTCTGCTTATACTTTGTGAATGTAGTAAAAGAAATCTCGTGTGACTTTACTGAACTTCACAGCGGAATAATCATTATTGACGTGAAATTTACTAATGTGGATTTTAGACACATCTCATGTTATATTTCGCATACGTTTCACATGCAGCCCATGTTTTATCTTTCACATATGAATTTTCCCCCACATTTTTATTTATTCTTTAAATGTGACACATACAGTGGATATAAAAAGTCTACACGCCCCTGTTAAAATGGCAGGTTTTTGTGACCTAAAAAAATGAAACTAAGTTAAAACATGTCAGAACCTTTTTTTCACCTTTATTGTGAAATTGCAACATATAGACATCAAGTGACAAACAACCTGAAATGTTTTAGGGAAAAAAACAAAACAAACAAAAAACTTCCAATACCCAGCTTGCATAAGTGTGCACACCCTTTTATAATTGGGAATGTGGCAGTGTTCAGAATCACCCAATCACATTCAATCTCATGGTAAATACTAATTAGTATACAGCTGCCAAAAATTTAAGTGACTGATTAACTCCAAAAAAAAGTACAACTGTAACTGTAGGATTTTCCTGACATCTCCTTGATAACATCCAACCGGAATAACAGCGGGGCACAAAGAGCTTACAAAGCAGGTACAGGATCTCATTGTTGGAAAATATCAATCAGGAGAGGGTTGCAAAGGCAATGCATTTCCAAGCCATTGGATATACCATGGAACACTGTAAAGACAGTAATCAACAAGAGGAGAAAATATGGCACAACAGTGACATTAGTAACCAGGAAAAAAACTGGTCAGGGAGGCCGCCAAGAGACCTAACATTACAAGAATTGCAGCAATTTCTGGCAAGTACTTGTTGCTCCCTACATGTGACAACAATCTCCCGAATTCTTCCTATGGCTGGGCTATGGGGTAGGGTGGCAAGCCGGAAACCTTTCTAATGAAAAAAAAAAAAAGACATCCAAGCCTGACTAATGTTTTCAAAACAAAACAAAAAAATCCATTCTCCAAAAACCATGTGGAATAAGGTGTTAATGGGCTGTTGAGACCAAAGTTGAATGTTTAGGCCATAATACTAAAGGATATGTTTGCCACAAAAAAAAAGACACAGCACATAACCTAAAGAACACTATCCCTACGGTGAAGCATGGAGGCGGTAGCATCATGCTTTGGGGCTGCTTTTCTTCAGCTGGAACTGGGGCTTTAATCAGCGTGGAGGAAATAATGAATAGCTCCCAATACCCGTCAATTTTGGCACAAAACCTTAAGGCTTCTGCTAAAACACTTAAGATGAAGAGGAATTTCACCTTTCAGCATGACAACGAACCAAAGCGCGCCTCCAAATCAACAAAGGAATGGCTTCACCAAAACAAGCTCAAGAATGGCCCAGCCAGAGTCCAGATCTAAATCCGATCGAAGATCTGTGGGGGAGCTGAAGAGAGCTGTGCACAGGAAATGCCCGGTCAATTTGAGGGAGTTAGAATGCTTTTGCAAGGAAGAATGACAAGATACTGCTAAGTCAAGATGTGCCAAACTGATTGACTGTCATGATAAAATCTAAAGGTGCTTCAGCTAAGTATTAGTTGACGGGTGTGCACACTTATGCAACCAGGTTATTGTATATATTTTCGTTTTCTTTTTTTTTTCCCCTAAAATGAATCTTACTGTTTTTCACTTTAGTGTATAGGTTGCAATTTCACAGTAAAGATAGAAACGGTTCTGACATGATTTAATCTTGGTTTCATTGTTTTACATCACAAAAACCTGCTATTTTAACAGGAGTGTGTAGACTTTTTATATCCACTGTATTCACAAGATGCCACGTGTGGAGTTCATGTGCAATTTCAAAGCATAACATGGTGAAATGCACATCTTTTTTTCCTGGGTGACAACACATTACTTTGTGAAAAACATGAAGAAGTAATAACTGAATGAGTGAACTGTGTGCCTTGTAACCCTTGTTAGCCAAACAGAAGCAGATGATGCCGGCTCATCAGATGGTTCAGGCTGCACACAGAGCTCTACCCAGAGGACGCCCATCCACAAGCCCTTCACCCAGTGTAGACCCCCCGCTGACTGGCCTCAGCACCCAGTGCCTGGCAGCGTGAGCGAGGAGGAGCTGCACTTTGTCAGGGGCTGCCTGCAGCGCTGGAGAACTGAGGCAGAGAACAACATGAACGGTGCGTCCTTCAGACACTTACGCCATTTTTCTCTCTCGGTGTGAAGTATTACCTAGACCTCTGCCTTTACAAGAAAACAGAAAAAAAGCAATCATTGTTCTCCACCAGTGTTGCAGAAGCTGTTTTGTTCCTTTCAGCTCCGCAGTATCGACTGTTGTTCATGAGGCTGCATGTTGTGCCCTTTACCGTATTGTATTAGAGCACAGCCTTATTTTCCAGCAGATATCCTAATGTGTTTGAGTGTATCAGGAGCCTGGCCTCGGGTGCACCCTATTGATTGCTGTTCTCTCCTTGTGCTCAGAGCTCAAGGGCAGCATTGACAAGGTCAGCCAGGCTCTGGAGGGGATGTACTCAGATAACAGGCTGTGTCAGGTAAAGTCTATATTCCAAAACAGCCCTTGGCTCTACAGACTTCCACGTCTTTTCATAATGACATTATTTTCAGTGTGTGACCAAAATGCTGTATGATTTTAAAAGTCGAGTGAGTGTGAGCGCAAATATGATAATCATAGGCAGAAATGTTAAATACAACTAAAAACAAACAATAAAGAAATGAACAATTGAGCCATATTTTTGTAATCATAACTAAGTGCTAAAATTAAAAGATTCTCAGTATTTTAGTTGGTTTTGGTCATTTCTTGGCAGAAAGTAGAGTAATTGGATGGATGGATGGATGGATGGATGGATGGATGGATAGATAGATAGATAGATAGATAGATAGATAGATAGATAGAGAGGATGTGTGTACGTGTCCTGCTGTGATATCTAAAAAAAAAAAAATGAATTAAAAGAGTTGATTTGATTAGTGATATCTAATCAAATCAACTCCTTTAATTCATTTTATAAACTGGCACGCCCCAAAGATTCTGAGTAGCACCATTTTCATGATGACATGAGATTAGAATTTGCTTATAGATTTCACGTTGATATTTTATTTTTAGAAATAATCAGCAGGCTGAAAAACTAAAGCTGTCGCATGTTAAAGTCTAATTACCCCAAAAAGGGTTAGGGACAAAAGACTCCAGGCCACTGATAGACACCATCACACTGACTGCTATTTACTGATTTAATTTGCATTTAATTTAACGTGTAATTAAAAAATATAATACATATGAAAAATATGTCTATATTTATATCCACCTTCATAGTCGCCTTTGATAAACTGGTTCTTTAGCTGCGTAACGTATTCCTTCTGGAAAGCTAGGCACGTTTAGAAAGTTAATAAAAACGTTACTACATTGATCTGGGGGCATATATTTATGTTTTGTTAAAGCTGATGTACCACTATTTGTTATAGGTAAAAAAAAAAAAAAAAAAAATTTGATCAAAAATTTTGATTTTTTTTTTTTTTCTGAGTGTTTACCAGAATTCAGCCACAGTGACATCCAATGGGTTTTCCAGAACGACATACTTATGTCAGCTATTTCCTCAATAATGGAAATAAATTTGTCGAGTCAGGTATTAAATCTGATTTAATAGCTACGGTTTTTGAGAGAAGCAGTCTGTTTGTGTTGAAGTGAAGTGACATAAATAGTGTACAATGTCAAAACCAGGTTGTAAGACGTGACTGGAAGCCAGGAAAATACTGTTTTGGCCCTGCATTTACACTAAGAGAGGGTCTCAGTGGCACAATTCTGATCCAGAATGGGTTTTAAAAACTCTCTGACTATTTTTTTTTTAATATCCACCCTGATCAGCACAGGCACATTCATTTCTAAGCAGCTGAGCGCAAACTGAACAATATTAGCTCACACCTGATCAAATTAATAATATGCCGGCTAAATTGTACTTAAATAGAGCTTAATGGGTAAAACAGAGCAGCTGGGATTAAAAAATGACATCTTAGCAAGTGAAAGTATCTTGAATATAGTCACTTTTATCTAGTATTCCCTGTTTTACGATTACAATAAACCAAATGTGAGATTATTAAGCCTATTTCT